ACTTTATACACTTTTTTAAAATTTTTTTTTTTAGAAAAGAATGTTTGTGATTTGATGAAATGTGTTTCAAAATGTCACCAGTGAACCTTGGCCGAGCCGCTTTCGAAGCCATGGCTCTGCTGGTCAACCAGATCCACAAAAACCTGGAGGGAATCCAGGATCAGCACGGCCGCAACAACCTGCTGGCATCTTATATTCATTATGTTTTCCGCCTGCCCACTGCTGAACCTGCATTACCCCCAAGTGAGTGTACCGTGCAACCCAGCAAAGGCAGGCTAAAGATTGTAATTTTGTTGGAATTTGTTCTAATTATTTACTAATATCTGTGTCGGCTTTGTTCCCTGAGAAGCAGGCTCCCAGTCCTATGAAATGCCTGTGCAGTATGCTACCTTGTCCAGGGCAACAGGCCGCCCAAGCAGTCTGCATCTGTCACGTTCAAAGAGTATTAGTAATTCCAATCCTGACCTGGCAACCACTCCAGTTTCCCCTGACGAGGAGGTTCAAAGGATCATAGGAAGCAAAGTGAGTTTCAGATTTTTATAATAATAATAATGATGATGATGATAATAATAATAATAAATATGATCCCAAGCTTGTTAATGCTCAGTGATGATCTGTGTTTTTAGAGTTTTTTAAATAATACCCATTGTTCTATTTTTAAATAATTTTTAAGTTATTTTGATTTAATGACAGTGTCTTTATTCTTCACAGCAAATTTAATAAACTCAAGTCGACTGAAAACTCAGCCTAGTCAATACAAAGTGCCTTTTTCTCTGTTTCTCTTAGTTCCTCCAGTTTCTTCTCCCACRTTCTCTCTTTTTCATTCTCATTTTAATGTCCTTTATTTTTGTTTCTCCCTGATTTTTACCCTCAGAGAATATCTTGTGTGATTATTACTCTCCCTTTACTCACGGTGTCCTTGCCTCTCGCCATACTTTGTTTGTTTTTGTGTGTGTGTGTGTGTGTGTGTGTCTCATCGGTGGCTTGTGGCAGGGTATTGACCGCTCCCACTCCTGGGTAAACTCTGCTTATGCCCCTGGGGGGTCCAGATCTGTGCTACGCCGGAACCCCAACTCCAGCTGTGARCTCAAGCAGGTGCCAAATCCTTCCTCCTTCTCCTCATCATCCTCTTCACTTCCATCTCTAAATACCGTATCTCCCGTGAACCTTTTTTCCTGTATTTGTGTCTGCATGCCTCGTTCTACTTTATTTTTTAAATCATTCCATCCTTCCAAATTCGTCTTTTCTCTGCTGCCTAACAAGCCATTTTTCTGGTGTTCAACTGACAAAAGCGCCGCCCGAGGCTCGTTTAAGATGTMTCTCCGGCCTCGCACTCATCAGAGTTCACAGAAAAGCTCTGYGGTCATCCACCCGTTCCCAGTTCACCCATTTTCATGTCACTGTTTTCATCTCTGTGTTCACCTCACCGTCACTTCATGTCAGGCAAGCGACCTGAGCAGCAATCGCATGTCTGCCTTTCTGGACAGCGTGGCCTTGTTAGCAGCTCCCACAAGGCAGATTATAAAGAAGGTAAAACTGGAATCTAATGTTAAAAAAAAGAAAGAAAAAAATAAGTGACAAGGGCATTTTAAATGAGAAACTAACACTGACTCACCACCATTCCATGTTAGCATCATAAACRTTAATCATCATTCAGCATATTTAACAACTGTATTTCTGATGTGGTTTGGAAATGTGTTTTTATAAAATATACTAAATAAAGATTACTTTTTAATTTATTAGTTTTTTTATATATAAATAGTATGTTTTTGTCAGAATAGGGTTTGACTAGTTTTTAAACATTTATTAGATTTTTACCAACATTTGTAATAGTTGATAATTACTGATTCAGCATAAATTCATTCTAAATAGGTAAAGTTTTTAGAAATTCTTAATGGTTTCCTCGTGTTACGCAAAGTGTTCTGTGTTGGTTTGTGTTCAGTTGCTCCATGAGGAGCTGGCGTTACAGTGGGTGGTCAGTACCAGCRCAGTGAGGGAAGCAGCTCTGCAGCAGGCCTGGTTTTTCTTCCAGCTAATGGTCAGTGCTTTCATCAGAAAATTACAAAACCCCTCACCGTAAATGACTGTCCAATTTATTCCTTGTTTAAGTACATAGATTAAAGTTATAGTATTTATTTTAGGAAAGGCAATAATATCATGAAATGATGAAGTTTTCATTTCCAAACCTTCGTACAGACGAAGAGCATGGCTCATCATTTATTCCTGACCTCCAAACTGGACGCCCCCAGGCGTCAGCGTTTCCCAGACCGCTTCATTGATGACATCGCTGCCCTTGTGTGTGCCATCAGTGCAGACATTGCCAGCCGATACCAGAAGGTATGAAGCCCTCAAAGATGCACACTGAAGAAGAACCTGCTTTCAKTCCATTTAATAACCGTTTGAGTCCCCTGAACAACCAAACATTTGAGGGATTTTCATGTCAGATGGAACGATGTTGTGTCTCTACCGGTTGAGCTTTGTTGATTGTTTCAAATGTATAATATGTTTTGTTTTCCCTTTCCTGTCCTTTTAAATATACATACTCCCTTCCTCAATATTGATYTTCCTCCCATAAAATCTCCCCCTCCTTTCAGGATGTGGAGCTTGTGGAGAGGTTAAATAGCAGTCTGGCCTTCTTCCTGAATGATTTGCTGTCTCTCATGGACCGGGGATTTGTTTTCATCCTCATTCGCTCCTACTACAAACAGGTGCTCATTGATCTCTTACTCATTTTACAGTAACTTCAAACAGCTTAAAGCTTTTACTCCTCCTCTGACTCTTGTCCTTAAAATTGTGTTTCATAGATTGCTAACAAGCTCCACACAGCTCAAAATCCCAGCTCTTTGAATGCCCTGAGGATGGACTTTATTCGTATCGTCTGCAGCCATGAGCATTATGTTATCCTCAACTTACCCTGCTCCACTCTGAGCCCCCCGGCATCCCCCTCGCCTTCCACCTCGTCCACAACGTCACAGGTACTGGAGCCGGCTGGAAAACGAAACATGTTTAGAGGAATAAATGTAGTGGGAAGGCGGAGTGCTGAATGACTTTACAGAAGAAGCTGAAACTTTAGTTTTTTTAAAGGTAAAGGAAGCAAAACACCAGATGAATGAAAAAGTAGAAAAAAAGGTGCAGTAAAAGTTACAAAACAGTTGTTAAAAGCAGCAAAAGTCTAGCTAAAAGAATAAAAAGACTAGCTAAAACAAGAGAAGTTTAATACAGCAAAAACTAACTAAAAGTAGCAAATGGTTTGCTAAAATTAGCAAAAGACAAGCAAAGTATCAAGAGAGTAGTTATAAGTAGCAAAAGACAAGCTAACAATATCAAAAGGCTAACTAAATGTAGCAAAAGACAAGCTAAATGTAGCAAAAGACAAGCTAAATGTAGCAAAAGACAAGCTAAATGTAGCAAAAGACAAGCTAAATGTAGCAAAAGACAAGCTAAAAGTAGCAAAAAACTAGCTAAAAGTATAAAAAGACTAGATAAAAGCAGCAAATGACTAGATTAATGCAGCAAAAACTAACTAAAAGTAGCAAAAGACTAGCTAAAAGTGTCAAATGTGTAGTTAAAAGCAGCAAAAGACTAACAAAAAAGTAGCAAACGGTTAGCTAAAAGTAGCAAAAGACAAGCAAAGTATTGAGAGAGTAGTTATAAGTAGCAAAAGACAAGCTAACAATATCAAAAGTCTTGCTAAATGTAGCAAAAGACTAACTAAATGTAGCAAAAGACTAACTAAAAATATGTAGAGTAACTAAAAGTAGCAAAGGGCAATTTAGAAGTATCAATAGTGAAAAGCTGAAAATAGCAAGAGGATAGCTAAAAGCTAAAGCTTAACAATTTTAGCTAAAAGTAGCTTAAGACTAAAAGTCATATCATTTGTCTCCTTACTGAGCCTAAAATTTGATACATGATTGAAGTAGCACAATGTGTGTAAGTAGTTAAATTTCACTTAACGTACGAA